CTTTAGGTGATGAGAATATTCAATTAATTGATAGACATGAAACATTTTACACATTCTTGCGTAGTATGTGTCAATCCGGGTCTAACAAGCTCGAAATATCAAAAGTAAAACATTTCGTTCAGACAACTTACGCAGTTGTTAAATATAGAGGTAGGTTATTTGCACAGAGTGTAAAAATCATAATAATCTAAACAAGCCTGATTCTTTTAATCATTTAACATTTTTTAAGCAAACATTGATAATACAAATGAGATTCATGAATAATTCGCAGGCTGAGAATGTTATTAAATTTTACTTTTTACATTTTTGCAATTTGATTTCTATTATCAGTCATATTTGATCACAGGGAACCATCTCTCTTGTTTAGGTTAAACAGATCTAGTGTTCTTCAACTGGTTATCATGTAAGGAAGTTGAGTTTTTTAAGCTTTTGTGTTTTTTAATTCATAGCACAACTGCATATGTTTTCTTTTTCTACAGAAACAAGACCTTGGCCTATTCCAACACAAATACCAACTTTTGGCTATGCGAAATCATCAAAGGGTGAAATCCATACTTTAAATTTTAAATCGCCGTTACAAAAGCTGAGAGCCTTGTGCATAAAAGGTATGATGCATTTTTTATTCATTTTGATTTCCCATGTAATGAATACTAACAGTTTTCATTTACCAGTCTTGTTTTTTTATACATAAATGAATCATCCTATTGGCCTAAGGATTTTACAAAAATATATCTGACTGAAATGACTTTAAAGAACATTGTATTTCTGTGTTATTTACTACAGTTTCGGAGGCAAAAACGTTTAACAGAAACGATTCTAGTAAGTTATTAATTACTACAATATTGTGTTTTCTGTTTTTATAAAAAAATATAAATGTTTAATATATAGATTGGACTATTGTCTTATTAATATGTTAAATATTTCGCAAATTATGATTGTAAATGTATGCCATTGTAAATAACATTAACCTATTCCACCACATATCAAGTTATCAGTTTAGAATTCATTGTACTAAATAAATCTTTCGTCAACAATATAAAACGTATAATTGATATGGAATTAAGTTCGAGATTTTGTCTCTAATCTATACAGTCAGCAATCAGCATTTAAACACAAGTTTATCTGATGTGTAACAGTGGGTTTGGGTGGGGGGTCACTAATGGGAGTTTTGATGTTTTTGATGTTTGTGTCACAACACAATCAATAAAATGATTACCCCTAAAAATGTATTGTCACCTCCAATTTCACTCCTTGACGAAGTAAACAACATTTTCATAGACCTATGTCAGACCTCTCAATTACTATTGTGGTGTTGAAGATTTTGATTGATTGAATGTATATCTCATTTCAGAGGTGTATCAAGTTATAATGAAACAGTATTGCAGTAGTAGATATTTCTCTCTGATCAATTTAATTCATGGAACGAGTCCGCAGATGTTGCATAGTCTATTTAATTTACCATTAATAAAATGTGAACTATAAAATCATGTTGCAGCTTTTCATAATTTGGAAATAACGAATAAAGATGCTGTTGAAAGAAAGTTTAAAGGTGTTTAGTGATGTCATTTTCTTTTACATTTAAAACTGTATGAATTACATGAAGATGTCTGTCGGTTTCCAGAATATAAAATAAGTTTTTGTGTGATCATTTTTAGCATACAGGTTAAAACTGAATAATTTCAAATTTAATTTTACTTCAGTACAAAGACGAACTAGCAACGAGGTAAAATCAGCTCTCTCAGAAAACAAAAAAACAGCATTTTTTATAGAATAGTTCGCCAATGGTTTATTAAATCCCTTTTAAAACATATACACTAAAGTTTTAGTTTAAGCAAACAAACATAAGAAACATATTTGATCCAAGATTTGACCTCATGTTAGTCTTAATTGAATATATTGATATGCTTAGTAAATTGAGAAAATGAATATTGTATTTTCAGGCACTTCTATCATTGTTCCTATAGGAATTTCTGCCTCTGTCACCACTGTTGTTGCGATGGTTGTAGTTATTATAATATTGAAGAAACGGTATTGTTTTATTTCCTTTACTCATAAATCTCAAACGTTAGCTGATATTATTTAACGAAATTTATCATGAAAACTAAAGTTAATTTCATTAAATGCGGATAAAAAGTTTTAGTTTGTTGTTTTCTTCTCTGTGTCGTATTTCAATAATTGTTATGTTCTGCCACTCCTTTAAATTTAAAACACAGATATCATTTTAATTTCGTACTGTGTGTACAATTATGCTTGAAAATAAAAAAAGATTTAAATCCGAATAATCAAAAACTGTTCGCGTTGTATTTAATATCATCGAATTTTATATTTTCATTTTTTGTTGTTTTCAAATTGCACCAACACAATATTGGTCATATGGCAGATTTACTGGTGGAGGAAGATCCCGGGTACCCTCCCGTTTCTTAGGCACAAACGGACACCTGTGTAGAACCACCGACGTTCTGTTAGCTACCTGGATAACTTCCTTACATGTAATAAAACAAAGTCCCCGTCGAGATTTGAATCCACAGAGGTGACGGGAAAATGGTTTGAAGTCAACGAACTTAAGTATAGTTATAAAAACAACCATAATTATCTTTTTAAATTAATACTGTTCAATCTTATTGATGCTTTAAAAATGGTTTGTTTTTCTTTTCAGTGGCAAAATTCAAACCAAATGTTGCAGAAAAATTCAATCAGATTCTTCTGATTATACCACACCGGAAATTCATCTAGCTGTTCAAAATGATTATATCTCTCTAAGTCCTCATTATGATCATTATGATCAAATCAGCGTTGTAGAACTTCCATCAACCAGCTACACTGATTATAATGTCATTCATGACAAAAACGAACATTTGCACTCAGATGTAGAAAAGCATGGAGGAGTGTCTTACATCAATACTAACATTGCAAGTCATGATAACAAGTACTAGCTATGTACAAAGAACAAAGGAAATACTAATGACACTACAAAGATAGAAGCTTTCAATAAAGTGTATCATTAGGTACGTATGCTGTGGACGTGATAAAAGGGGATATAAAGTCTTCATGAGATAAATATTAATATAAGACATCAATTAAGAATCACGTCAATCTCACAGTCTGTATTTCACTGATGCATTTTTATAACAGATAAAAGACAACGTCTGTTGACAAAATGCTTTTACAATGTCACATTTCAAAATTTATTCTTTAAGTTTCTGAACTCGTATAGAATATCATTTAACCCAATAGTTGTTTTCATTTTTAAACTTCAGCGTCGTTTTGAATGTTAACGTTGCCCAAAACTTATCACGTGGATTTTGTTGACTTAAAAAAGTATTCACCAGACAGTCTTCAAAATGTTTAAAAAAGATGTCTTTGTATCTTCTAAACTTACAATGAACTTTTCCTGCAGTTTTATGTCTTTATCTTAGTTGTGGCTGCAATTTCATGGAGGTGGTCATAAAGTAACTTTAGTGTGATGCATTCCTAATGGTATTGTTGAAAAGCACGATAATGGAAAGTTATATTTTTTGTGACTTCACATTATCAGTGTTGTTAGCACACAAACTCAGCACTTACATAAATAAATTGAGCAAATATCAAACTTCGTTTCTATCATTCATTTCATTTGCTATATCTAAAACATAAACGATACAAATAACTACTTTTACAATTGTAAATGAAGCATTTTCGTGTAAAAAGACAAACACAGGGTATCAGATCTTCCCAAAGTAATTTTTTATTTCTTTTTTTTAAAATATATATCTGCTTGTATAAGAAGAAATTCACATTAAAGTTTAAGTAAAATGCCAAATTTATCAAAATCTGCTTACTGAAATAATGACATTGAACAAGTCTTTTATAATCATATAAACTCTAACAAACCGCTAATTGTAAACGAAGTTGCAGACATTCCTTTGTTAAAAGCACAATTTACATAACAAATTACATCAATAAACATTTATAATGTTATTGAAAGCATCATACATATTTTTTTCGAAAGCAAAATGTACCGCAAAGCAACATCAAATATCTGATACAATTTAATATATTCCTTATACAAAAATTGCATTGACACAAACTTTTTATCAAACATGTGATCTTTTGTAATATTAATATACAGTAACTGTCAACATATCAGCAAATTCATGTTAATTCTCTATCTATTATACAGATATCTAAAAAATGGCAAAGAAATAAATTTCTGAATATACTTGAACATGCTTAATTGCAATAGTTGGGTATCATTTCCTTCTGCTGTTTATAAATAGTCTTGGAAATATAAGAAACTGAATAATCCACCTAGAAACAACATAGTAAAATGAATTAATAACAACAAATTACATGAATATTTCAGACTTTGTTGATTGAGTACATACTTGAGGAATAATGAAAAAGTGCAAGATCAATCATGTCCTCTAAAATAGCACCGGTTTGACCGGTACTCAATTTCAAATACTTGAAAGTGTTTGAATCAATTATCCCGAAAGACCACCTCTGGTTATAAGAAGGAATATTAAACAGGGAAAAGAGACTTGTGCAACATCTAAAACGCTTACTAAACCATTCAATTATTTTTTAGTTCCTTCTCAAAATTCATGAAGTAAAAACAGAATTTCTTATCATAAACATCGTCAACTGAATAAATGAAAATGTTAAGTGCTTTTTCTATTATTATAATATTATAATGTAAAGGTGTTTTAAAAAAGCAATTATTCGTCATCAAACTAACAAGCAAACAAACAAAGTCTGTCAATAGGTGTGCAAGCTTTGACAGTAATGAAAATGTTTTCCGATGCTTCTTGAAAAGTATACATGATGAAAGCATTGATATGTAAGATAACGTTATTGTTAGCATACAATAGTTACAACAGTTCATTTTATATAGTTACATACATAGAACCTTAACGAGAAACATATTGTACCAAAATATTGTACCAAAACATTTTAAAATCTGACTGTTTCAATAAATGAATTGACATTCTTAAATAATCAATATCATTGATTTTTGAATATCATTTATTTATTTTCGAATCAAGACTGTCGTATGCATGAGACTCCCTTGCAGCAGGCTGGATGATGCAATAAGTATGTGCCGTGTGACCTTTATTATCTGAGCCGAGATCTTGTCTTGCGTCTTCATTTACATAGTTATTACGTTCCGCAATTTGTTCATCAGCTGACTCTTGAAATTTACCATGAACGTTACTTTTAGTAGGAAAAGTGTCAGGTGTTCTTTTGTCTAAAGCAAAACATCTGATGCACATGTTTGGAATCATCCCACTGAAAAATAACTTTGTTTGTTATGACAGTCAAGTAAAATATTAAACAAAAAACTGTTTGTTTTTTTTTATATCAAAACATATTCACACTATAGAATTTCTGCTCAATTTAAGAAAGTAATCACTCAAATACGCAAGCAGAACAGACATTCTCTTTAAAACGTCTTACTTAATCAAATAACGAATATTAAGAATTTAAGATAATTTTACCGTCTTCGCAACATTAAAACCACAACAACAACAACTGCCACTAACATAACAGCTATTACTGACATGATTATAGGAATAGTGACGTCAGAACCTGTGTCAAGATACAAATTACGTAAGTCTTTCAATCACATAATACAAAACAGATTGGTATATTATTTTAATAGAAAATTTGTATAATGATAAATAAGGGAAATACAGAATCCTTAAAGAAAGCCCAACACGGCAAAATGAAAATGTTGCAGGCTCGTTTTGATTGAGTCTGTTCATGGACGGTACTGGAAAGAGCAAGTTACAGTCCACCCAATCCATAGCACCGGCTTCAGCAGAATTCAACATTTAAACACGATAATGGTGAAATTTTGAATTAAGAGACATCCGCAAACGTATTCATACGGCCTTCAATTTGACACAGTAGTGCCATTCCATGAAAAGCGGCGTATGTTCCCCTAGAAAAAGAACGTTTACTCCACATTGATCTAATTTGCATAAGAATTATATTTCAAGCTATAATCATGTTTGAATAAAAAAATACCTTATGTAATTAAATGTTGAGAGAAACTAAATATCCTTTGAAAGTTTTTTTTAGAAATATTTTTTTTTGATTGACACATATGCTTGTGTACTTGAATAATATGACAATTTTTGTGTACCAAGAAATAGACCGTTAAAGAACTATTCAAACTGTCTTCAAAATAGCACTTACGGTATGATGGAGTTGTCCAATTCTTTGATACAAAGTCAGTTGTTCTTTTAGACGGAAATGTTGAATGTTCTAAATTTCCTGTCGGTAAGGTTGTGATATCATAGGGCTTGATCAATATTTCTGCAATAGATTAATTTTAGGTTAACGGTTTTGTTTTTTTAATGTAAAATATTAAACTTCTTAATTACGGTTGTACTTAAAATGCAACAAAACACATCAATGCAGTCCATTTGATATCGAAACTAAATAACCTTATTATGTACATTATAAAAAGGTTAGTTTTATCGTAGTGTACTTACCTTGCAATGTGACTTTATTACTTATGGCAACGTTGTTAGGTTTGACACTGCTTCGCTTAGTATATTTATGTGGTATTTGACTAGTGGATGACACCAATTCATTATGACTTGTTGATTTTGTGCCAAGAACTGTATTTGAAGTTTACAATATGTTGAGAAAGAAGAAAATGGTTTTCCAAAACGAGTGATCAACAACATATTTCTATCGATATTAATTAAAGCAGTGTTGTTCAAAATAATTAAAATCAAAAAAAAAAATAAAAACGCATAATACGCTTTCAGACAAAAATAGCTCGACTTCTATGGTTTCTTTGTTAAAGCATACGTCATCATCAAATGTAAAAGAGTGGGGCAAGTGGTTTGAAGTCAACGACCTTCGGCACTCGGCCACAGGCGCCAATAACCTTACTAATATCATAGTGCCAGACATTCTGACAAAATGCAATTTGATTAAAGGAAAATAATGAAGTTTAGAAAATAAAAAGAGGTCTTTTTTATTCAACCTTGTGACCTTGATGAAGATTCAATCAAAACTGACTGAAGCCAACTGCTAACTGAGATTGTTGAAGTTGGACTGCAGACGTCAGATCGACTGAACTTTGCTCAAACTTAAATTGAGTTTTATCAGCTAAAGAGAACTTACGTTGTTGAAGAAAATACAGTTTCTGGTTAGCATCCATTTTAAAAGAAAGTTCTGTTACGTTTCCACGTCTTGATATATACCCAAATCTTGTGACGTCAGCAATACTGATTGAATTTGAAGTCTCTACAAATAAAATGAAGATTGCAATAATTCTCAATACCATATTCTGGCGTTAAGTTTTTCTGTATTGTAAAATTCAGTAAAGCTTTTAATTTCGCCAATATGAATTATCTAAAATAAAATCATCAGCTAAGCAATAATTTTCAACTCACCATAATATTTGTAGATTGCATCACTACGAATAACATTTGTCCATGTCTGACCAGTAGCCTGTGAAATATTTAAGCGTCTGGTGTCGTTAAAGGTTATAGGATAACTTCCATTATTAAAACATCTTTGAACATAAGCTGTCCATTCCAAAGAATGAAAATCATTAAATAAAATGTTTCCATTCGAATCTGAAATAACAGAATATATATTAGTTTTCATCTTAAGACCAATGTCGTGAAAAGTGTTCAACACTGTTAAAACTGCTATTAGACTAGTTTAAAAAAAGAGCTTTTGTTGAAAAAATATCACTTTTAATGCCCTCATGGGTAATAATATATTTTTTCATCATAAGCAAAAGTGAGTACTTTTAATAATTTGCTTAGATTGTTTTATATTTAGTTTGTTCAAGAGCAAATTCCCCTTCTCATTTTCTTTTACTTTATTTGCCTGAAGTTTATTTATACCAAGAGTGGTGCCTCATACATTTTCACATTCACCTTCAATTGGTTGGTTCGCATGTCGGAATTATTTTCAATTTCTGCAATATAAAAACAACTTTTTTAATGCCACGACAATTAGTACAAAAGGAAGGTTATAATACACAAAATATCTTTAGAAATAAACAACAGACGGGCTTACCATATTTACATAACGCACGGAAATAGAGGTTGTCGCACCTACTCCACCAATATATAGGATCTTTCTGGAAACCTAAGCATTTTTCACCCTGATCTCTTTTAACGTGTAGATCTAAAACAAATGAAAACATTATAACGAAATGCTTAAAAAAGCTAAAAACACATAACTTTAGAGAATCACAAGTTGTTTTATGATATTCATTAAACTAAGGTTAGATTTTAGTTTAAAGCAGTTTATAATACATATAACAATTTTCAAAACAATATTTTATTTCCCACTAAAAATATAAATGCCGCCAAATGACTGTTTTGACATTTTTCAGGTGTCAAAAATCTGAGTAGTAAAATAGAGAGGAAATCTTTGACACTATTTGAGGTATGACGGACAAAGAGAAACTAATGATTGGACTTGATACCCAAAGATAAACTAGGCAAAAGGAACACATACAACAAATGTTTATCATACCCGTCTTCATCCTTTGGTATATTGACATATATTGATGACCTTCATGTTCACCTCCAGCAATCCAAGTTCTATTAACCACAATATTACAAGAAGCCATAGTTAGATTCTCGTCTGGCCGTTCATCCATACAGAAACACTATTTTAATAAATAAAGATAATGTCTCTCTTCAAAAATCGGATAAGAGATGATCTGTCGGATGCACCAAAAACAACAAAATACAAGATTATGTGAAAATTGCAGACTCGGCTTCATTGACTCTGTTTATTAGAGACAATGATAAAGTGCGAAATCTCTTATGCCCCAAGCACTGGTTTCAGTGATATTAAATGGCAAATGATCCACAAGGACCAGAAAAATATCACAATATTGCGTACATGGCATCCTTTTCCAGCTGTCATACACCTTATTAAATATTTCTATCCAAACATTTTCAATTGCATTTTCTACCTATTACAATCTTTCATTTTTATAGCAAAGCATTATTTAATAATTATTTAACTGATAGTTAACAAAATTATATTGGTTCCATAATCTTACGGTCGATTCTCAGAAGTATTGTAAGATAGAATGTTTCTGATATCAAACATAATTTTTTTTAATTAAACAGTTATTTTTGTAGCGTATATAGCATTATGCACCTTTAGTTAGTTATCGCATTTTCCTTAAAAGCGTTTTAATAATAATAATAATAATAATAATAATAATAATAATAATAATAATAATAATAATTATAATAATAATAATAACAACAACAACAACAATGATAATAATAATAATAATAATAATAATAATAATAATAATAATAATTGAAAAAACAAACAAAATATGCTTTGGAAAAAGGATATATTGCTTTACCTTGTCGTTGTTTAGTCCAATATAATCATGTTTAGATTTATTGCACATTGAATAACACATACCAGGTGAATTTTGAGATATCGGTAACAAAGTTTGGTGTTTTGCAATGTTTATACGGCCACATCCTGAAATACGTACAGTCAGTTATATTAAAACGTCATCATCATGTACTGAAAAAAATGAAAACAGAGTTCAACAAGGAAGGTTGGATTCAATGAACGCAACATAAAACAGCATAACAAGACCAACGAGAAGGAGCTCAGCAAGGCATCAAACAATCACAAGAGAGGGCACATGATACATATAAAAAAGATAACTCAGTGACCACAACAAACGTACTTAATGCCTTAAAGAAAAAGTCACAGTATAATAAAATATAAATTATGTCATATTTTATTTCATTCTTAAATTAGTACAATTTTTATTTCCCACACATCACATGGGCATGAACATGTACAACCCAAAAGATGTCTACTTTGAGTATGGGTGTGCCATGGAATGGCGTTGTTGACGTATTGACACGAAGCTTTTGTTGTTAATATTCAAACATATAACATATGACACATTTTTATGACAATGACGATTGATCAAAAGTTGATAATGTAAAGAATTTCACACCTTTTTAGATATAACCAATGTACATTCAGCATTTGCACAACATGATGTTCCAATAGAAAAATCATGTTTTGATCCAATCATTTAAGCCTCGTTTTCATTTTAGAGTCAAAAATGATCATATAAAATCCATATCGCACCAAATCTAGCCGCCTCGTTTTCATTTGTAGAGTCACAAATCTATATCAAATCTATATCAAATTCTTTTATATTTGAAGTAACAAAATTCTTTCAAAATGGCAACAAATGGTGGTGTGAAATAAAGAGATTTTTCAAACATAGTTATGAACAAAACTGATTATTTTGGACTCGTATACAGCTGCAAATATAGTGTATAATAACCTATAATAACCTCATAGTAATTACGAAAAAATTAAAACTTCCTAAAATATAAAAATCCCCTTAATTATTAAATGATGCCAGACGTTTTCCTTTTCTATAAATTTAACGTCACGTATAAATTGTACGTTATTAAATATATAACAATGTTACATTTCAGCGTGCTGATTTTACAATAATTATTCTTGCAACATCTTAAAACCTCCATGAAACTCTCCGTTACCAGATATTGTTTTTGCTAAAAGACAAGAGTTTTAAAAGACATTTTAGACGCGCGACGCACCTTTATACATATATTGATAAATAAAATGCTATTTTGAAAATATTGTTTTAAAATAAATGAGAGAAATAAAACTAGAAGTTTAATTAAATTATAATTGAATATTTTTTAATTGAAACAGCATCGTATATAAGAGGGTATATACGATGGTGGGTCAATATGTCAGCAATATGAAGTATATTTTCAATTTAGTTCATGATTGAACTATGCTATGCTTCAAAGCACCAGCTTTCACATGATAAAAATTTTGTATAGTTAACCGATCAAGAATTCTAAGCAAATCAAGAATTACTTTACACGAGTAACTTTATGTAAATTATGGCTGGTAAATGTTCAGGTAAAAGTGCTCAAATACGGGCTGCATAAACATTTTGAGCAAAATAGGACTATCTAAAACAATTGCTTATTACGATGAAGTAACGTGTGCAACTGTTTTAATGCGGTCTCATAAATTAAAAAATGGGGCCAATTGAACACCAGTAAGTCTGGCAAAAAATAAACAAGAGGGCCATGATGGCCCTGAAATCGCTCACCTGTATATAGGCCCCCGGGACGGGGCTAATTTTAACCCAGGGGCTTTTATTTGAACAAACTTGGTAGACACCCATTAGAGGATGTTTCATGATAAATATCTAAGCTCTAGCTCTAAGAAAATTTTTAAGTTTTTACTAAACACATATAGTGAAAAACAATGACCCACCCCCTCTGTGGGCGCCAATTTTGTCCCCATGGCTTTTATTTGAACAAACTTGGTAAACACTCACTAGAAGATAATTCATGCTTAATATCTAAACTCTATCTCTTTGGGCTTTTTAACAGAACATTTTTTCAGTTTTTACTATAATTATACATAAAAGGAAAATCAAAGATCCCGGGGCGGGGTCAATTTTTTAACCCCAGGGCCCTTAATTTAACAAAAATGGTAGACACCCATTAGAAGATGTTTCATGCTAAATATCTTAGCTCTAGCTTTTAAGATTTTTTAAAAGAAGATTTTTTTTTGTTTTAACTATATACATAAAAGGAAAAACAATGACCCCCTGGGGCGGGGCCAATTTTGACCCCAGGGCTTTTATTTGAACACACTTGTTAGACACCCACTAGAAGAGGTTTCATGCTTAATAGCTAAGCTCTAGCTCTTTGAGTTTTTTAAAAGAAGATTTTTTAAGTTTTTACTATATGCATATAGGGTAAATGAATGACCCCCTGGGACGGGGCCAAATTTGACCCCAGGGAATTTATTTGAACAAACTTGGTAGACACCCATTAGAGGATGTTTCATGCTTAATATCTTAGCTCTAGCTCTTTGGGTTCTTTAAAAGAAGATTTTTTAAGGTTTTACTATATGCATATAGGGAAAATCAATGACCCCCTGGGGCGGGGCCAATTTTGACCCTAGGGCTTTTATTTGAACAAACTTGGTAGACACTGACTAGAAGATGTTTCATGCCAAATATCTAAGCTCTACCTCTTTGGGTTTTTTAAAAGAAGATTTTTTAAGGTTTTACTATATGCATATAGGGTAAATCAATGACCCCCTGGGGCGGGGCCAATTTTGACCCCAGGGCTTTTATTTGAACAAACTTGGTAGACACCCATTAGAGGATGTTTCATGCTTAATATCTAAGCTCTAGCTCTTTGGGTTTTTTAAAAGAAGATTTTTTAAGGTTTTACTATATGCATATAGGGAAAATCAATGACCCCCTGGGGGCGGGGCCAATTTTGACCCCAGGGCTTTTATTTGAACAAACTTGGTAGACACTGACTAGAAGATGTTTCATGCCAAATATCTAAGCTCTAGCTCTTTGGGTTTTTTAAAAGAAGGTTTTTAAGGTTTTACTATATGCATATAGGGTAAATCAATGACCCCCTGGGGCGGGGCCAATTTTGACCCCAGGGCTTTTATTTGAACAAACTTGGTAGACACCCATTAGAGGATGTTTCATGCTTAATATCTAAGCTCTAGCTCTTTGGGTTTTTTAAAAGAAGATTTTTTAAGGTTTTACTATATGCATATAGGGAAAATCAATGACCCCCTGGGGGCGGGGCAATTTTGACCCCAGGGCTTTTATTTGAACAAACTTGGTAGACACTGACTAGATGATGTTTCATGCCAAATATCTAAGCTCTAGCTCTTTGGGTTTTTTTAAAAGAAGATATATTTTAAGTTTTTTCTTTCGGTTGCCATGGCAACCAGAGTTCTGCATGGAATTAAATTCTTTGAACAATTTTTAAAGGTGACCACCAAAGGAACATTCCTGTGAAGTTTGGATGAAATTGGCCAAGTGGTTTATGAGGAGATGTCATTTAAAGTAAAAGTTTACGGACGACGGACGGACGGACGGACGCCAGACGAAAAGCGATCACAAAAGCTCACCCTGTCACTTTGTGACAGGTGAGCTAAAAAAAACAATAAAAAAATAAAATTAAACTCTATAGTTACTGACAAAAACATTAAAAAGTTAAGCTTATCATCTCCAAGATGCCAGACTTTCACTTATCCAAAAAGCAGGCATATGAAAAAAGTCAACTCGTACAATTCTAAAAAAACACTTGAAAGGCAAAAGTAATATATTAAGTACTAACCAATGTAGGCGAAAGCTGTTTCCTTCTTATAATATCCAACCCATACTTCCTTAGTTTCATCTAGCCTAATGCTAGATGGTATATTTACACTAAAAGATATACTATCCACTTGTATTTCAGGTGTTGCAAAGTTTTCCCTGCTCTTCGCCTCATGCCACGTGACGGTTTCGGTTGATAGATCATAATTAGCTGAAACTGTGAAATACACGTTACTTAATTCCAATACCATGAAACTTTTAATGTTAATAAGTTAGTTGATATTTAGTTTAGACAGGTATATTTAGCCTGGTTGCTGAACAAGTTATTGCGGCTTAATTTTATCACTTTCAAATCTGTTTCATGGAGCTAATTAGTATTGGTATAAATTGATGAAACATGGCCGTGACCCAAGTAGGGCTCGAACCCTGTCCCAGGGTTGACAAGCAGACACTCTAATCACTTGGCCACGGCTACCATCTTGTTGATGTTTATCTTTTGAATTATCATTTTCAAGAGTAAAATGTTCATTTTAGAATGATAATGTTTCCGAAGCTACTTAAAGTTCATTATTCATCTACTACACTTTAAATTTGTAAATTTTGGATAAAATAACAAGGAGGTCATTAAAATGAGTAAAAGCAGGGAAAGGTTGACCAGCGTATGTACTCCAATGAATGTGTCCTATTGACGACAATGCGCGGGTTGGTTTAGGACTTCTTATAAAAAAGAAATGAGGTTCAGCTGCCTCACCCGCCTTGTTTACCAGACCTGTGATTTATGTCCCTATAATTTACGAAAAGTCGAAATAAATCTAGCAGTAATTAGCATGTGAGTGTTTGGTCTAACAGGCGTACTGTTTGTCATTTTAGATGGGATTACAATAATTTTAAGGATCAAAATTAAACCGACTGTGATTGTATCTAAGAGCTCCAGACACAAATTAAATTGATGTTTTTCGTAACCTGTATAAATCGTGTAACTGGTCATGAAGTTTTGAATTTGAATATACGGATGGAAATAAATGTACACATATATATTTAAATTTTATTACATTTGTTCTAAGAATACTTTATTTACATTTTGCTAGCATAATTTCATTCAACATAAATGATAGAACTTCTATGTAAATATAACGGAAAAAAAAGAAACAGACATGAATTTTGATTTAAATTCTTAAGATTGCATTATCTTGACATAAATAATACGTGTTATGTGCTTAATATTTGACATGCATTATTATTTGTTGTATTGTTTTCGAAACTTGTGCAATTTTTGCTCAGTATATTGACATAAGAAATAAACAAATGGCCAGTTTGTATTTTCATTCGTACACCAACCTAACTATAAATTAATCTGCTTGAATAAGCAAGACATTTTAGAATTATAAAGTTTTAATAATTGTTTTAAAGCTACACATATTTAATTTAGATTCCAGCGTTAGTATGTTATAACGATGACATCCTTCAAGCGTTTTTAATTTTTCATTGCATCTAAAATTGATATGTGTTAGGAATGACCTTTCATATTTAATATACCTTTGTGACATACTGTACATCTAATATGTCAAGTACTGGCCTTATCATGTCAATATGATTTTGAAATTTGAGGTTAGATACTTTAACGACATCAGTGATATCCCTGACTCCGATTATTGAAATTTTGCACTTATGCCGGTTTTTTGTCATTGACCACCGTATGAACACCACAAGCTTCATGTTTTATTGTTGAACTCTCGTTTGGTCTGTAAAACAGAGGCGTAAACAGTTGACTGCATATAACACTGCTGTCCGTGAAACAAAACAAGACTGCAACTACTTTTTAAGTTTGCCATTGGGCGCTCATTATGGTTTTGTTTTTCCCCATTTATAATATGTACAGTGAGGCTGGTCTGTTGTATCTAAAGATAAAGTTTTGCAAAAAAAAGTCACACACGAATTTTCAATGTCAACATAAAGGAAACTCGCATTTCCATCGTCTATTCAGTTTTATTTTCTGTAAATAAGTTTTTTTTTGTTTGTTGTTTTTTTTAATATGTTAAGGATCATGGAAATTGATGTTTTTAGGTTTAATACACACAAAGACTGTCATCTTTTTCTTATGTTAATACAGGCTGTGGTTTCGTTGAGCATTATACCCTCTAAATTAAGTATTGTTGATACACATTTCTCTAGTCATACAAGTTGCTTACAAAAAGTTATTTAAGTCATGAAGTAAAACAGATTTACCATAAGTAATAGCAGCAAGCAAAACAATAATCAATACAATCCCAATTTGTACGACATGTTGGTTTAACAGTCCTATAGCCCAGATGGGATCTTCCTGCTTTGAATCAGATAAAAATTATGATAGAAAGTGATGTGATGAATATTAATTATACATGCTTAAACAAGGACATTCATGCTGATCAAACAAAAGTTGTTTTATCTATATCCTTATGATAAAACATATTTTAATTTCTATGCATTTAAAACATCGCTTTCCTTATTAACATTGAAATGTTAAATTATCCGGCTTCATTTTGTAACGTAAATTCATGCTAATAAATTATATTGAGTATAAGGTTTAATTTGATAGAAAACATCGTTAACAATTAGTAAATATAAAAAATGAATATGAAATCCCTAAAAAACATCCAAAACGACAAAATATTGCAGGCTCGATTTGATCGGGACTGTTCATGGACGGTGATGTTAAATACAAGTTACCGTCAACGCCCCTACCATCGGCTTTAGCAGAAATTCAACATTTAAAAAACGATAGGGTAAAATTTTGAATTTTGAAACATCCGCAGTGTGGTCATACAGCGGTTATTATGTATCATGGAACCTTCAATGTAACAATTTCGTACCAATCCAAGGCAAGCGGCATATTATCCCGAGAAAACATTAGGTTCTGATAGCTGCATATCACAGATTAAACGTCAAAAGACAAATTTAAAAAGCAGACTCCATATCCTAAGGGTGATTTTACAATACTCAAGTAGGAATACAAACCCCGATCCTTGAGCAACTTAGGCAAGGGTACAATAAAGTGATATTTTAATCTTTTTTAACGAGGAAGACATTTAGCCAAGTTAACAAATGTTAACATGATCGACTGAAAGCAAGTCCGCCATAGTGACATACTCAATAATTTAAGTATTGGTCAAAGTGTAAGAAGCATCATATTTAGAGCATTTAAATAGCAATCTATTTACCAAATATTTACATAACAAATGTAAAGAAGAACCGATTGATCCGGGCGATGCTCCCCGAACAGGTTTTGGAAAAAGTGCAATTATTCCAAAATATGGCAAGGCAGAGTTACTGTTTCTTTGGCTACAATTTTAATCTGCTGATTAAATTTTCATGTTGATATCAGTTATAGTGACGGAGTTTTGTCCCTTATAAAAATTCGAAGTGTAAAAATGAACAAAGGAGAATAAACTCTAAAAATTAGACAAGGCAGAGTTATGGTTCTTTTGTACTACACATCTACCCAATGAGATATATCTACCTACAAAAGTGTATTGTTTATAATCTCTTATTCTTTTCAAAACTAAGTCCTGGACAATGTTTATAGTGTAAAAATGAACAAAGGGCAGTAACTCCAAAATTTAGGCAAGGCAGCGTTTCGATTCTTTTGGCACTGCACTTTTATTTAATGAGATATATTTAACTACAAAGATTTTCGTTTATAACTCTTTGTGGTTCTCACAGCTGTGTCCCAGACAAAATTCAAAGTGAAAATATGAACATTAAAATTAGGTAAGGAAGACGGACTGTTCTTCTGTAGTGCATTTCTACCAATGAGATCTATCTACCTATACAGATTCATGTTGATAATTTAGCGTTCGTTGAATGCCGCCTTTCCTTGTCGATCTTGTTTATCATATTTGATAGCTCTAGTTGTTTCAGAGTTACGTCCCGGACAAGAAAAGCGAACGGACAAACAGACAGACAGATGGACAGACCACGGACGGACAAAGCGGCTACTATATGCTCACCCTTCGGAGAGCATTATATTGGTAACACTACAAATATAACAGAATAATAGATTGTTAATCCAATGAGGGATTTTTATTATCCTATAAACAATAGAAACGTTTTTACTGAATGAACATCATAGATTAAACTTGTACTCAAATCCATAGTATTTTTAAAATCTGCTTATTTTTTTCACACAATATTGAAATTTTAGACGCAGTTAGTGTTTTCTGATAGATAATTGAAATATCAAAATCTCTTACTCTTTAAACACCTGCTTGATCACTATCTATTCTTCATAGCTATTAGTATGAAAGTCGATGGTACAGAAGAATTTAAAAAAAATATATAACAACACTAAAACGTTGTACTGGACAACTCGATATACATACATACAATTTTATTGCGTTATAAGACCAACGAACCATGCACATATACAATTGTGAGCCGATGTAAATTTACAGACACTTATTTCGTATAAAATTAGCCAGATAAACTTGTGAATGTTTACCACAAACTACAATGAAGCATGATATAATAAAGCAACCTACTGAAAGATATACAGTGTTTAAGATGAATATATAATCCGGCCTGGTATTTTTTCATAAGTTAATTCCCCTCCATACTGTTTGTTTATTCTTAAAAAGGTACAATGACAGCGTCTGTCTCATATACATTCCTTCACATTTGTACATTTAAATGCCCATGCGTTTTGCATTCATTTCAACATCATTGAAAGTTTACACATGGATTTTGATATCACAACTTTATTGTATACCGTTGTCCTTATGTATACATTTCAAACCAAAACCGTTTGCCTTTAATTCGATCACTATGCACCACAGCAGTTTTGACATTTATCCTTTGCTTACACTTAAAACTTCTAAATGTATTGGAAGTAACACTTGCCAAGAGGTTTGCAATTTTCTTCAGAACATTTTGGAATTCGATGAAATATTTTATCCTCATGTGTACCCATTTTCAGTATATATAAATGTTTGAATAAAGAAAAAAACAACAACAAACAAACAACAAGAAAAAAACTACACATTTTACAGCAAAAAAACATTTAACGCCTTTTTATTACATCTCATCAGGTGCGGTTGGCCTTATATCAGACTTAAGACTCTTTACAAAAAAGAAATGGAAAATGTTCTTATGTATTCCTGCGCAGGCGTGCTAAAACGTCGAAAAGTAATCATTTTTTTCCTGTCAGAGGCGGAAGTAAGGCTGAAAGGCTGGAGTGGATGTTCTTTTTTCCTAATTTTCGTACCTTTATGTTTATGTGCTTTTCTGGTCAGATTTTTGGTTTTCTTGTAAAGTTTTGAAAGGTCTTTATAAAGATTTTTTTTTCTAAT